CGTCATGTCCTGCAGCTAAAACATGGAATGTTTACAACATTCCATGTTTTAGCTGCAGGTCCAGGCGACGCGTCATGTCCTGCAGCTAAAACATGGAATGTTGTAAACATTCATCTTCGTTTCATCCCTCCACTTTAAAAACAAGTTCCCTGAAGAGAAACTGACACCAAAGGTTCAAGTTCTCTTAAAGATGTGAAGCGTTTTATTTAAACCAACATTTTTCAGTCAGGTCATCTGGACCGTTTCTTTTTGTGCTGAAACGTTTCACCTTCCATCCAGAAGGCTTCATCAGTCAAGGAAAAACTCAACACAAAACTGATTCTTCCCCCAAATAAATGGATTATTGAGCATGGACTTGACTGTCAATGAGGAAGAGGGCCGGCATCGGAGGAGGGGGCGTGCCAAAGACACCATCTTAGCACCAACAGAACTGGTTTGTTCCACTTTGGAGTAAGCTGTTGGGGGAAGAATCAGTTTTGTGTTGTGTGTTTCCTTGACTGATGAAGCCTTCTGGATGGAAGGTGAAACGTTTCAGAAAAAAAAAAAAAAATAATAATGTCCAGATGACCTGACTGAAAATTGTTGGATTGTGTACCTGGATTATTGAATATGGACTTTTTCCTTTATTTAAAGTTCTTTGAGATCTTATTTATATATTGATTATCAATAAGATCTTATTTATATATTGATTATTAATAAGATCTTATTTATATATTTATTATTAATCAGATCTTATTTATATATTGATTATTAATAAGATATATATGTATTAATAAAAGAACAGAGCCGCTGCAGCTCATAATAGCCGATGCGGCTCTTCTGCTCTGACTTCAGCTGCTGCCCGTCTCTCGGGGCTCTCTCCTGCTCTCACCTCAGTATTTGATGCAGTTTAAAGGGACAGGCCGGTTAATTCTGCAGTGAGTTCTGTCAGTTATAAACAGAACCTCAGCTGTGAAATCAGAGAACTGAGTGATGAGTACCGAGGACAAAGTCCAATCAGGACAAAGTCCAACCAGATTGGATCCTGTCATTGTTTCCTAAATTAAATCACAAGGTGTTCACACACCTTTAGCTTGTTTTCTGAACTGAAACCCAGATGAAATAACCGGACTATCCCTTTAAGAAGAGAGTTCAGAACGCCACGCTGTGAGAACGTTTTCACCCCCTGCAGGTTTCCGTTTTAATCACTTTAATGTTTCAGATCTAACATTAAAGTGATTAAAATGCAGGTTTTAAATGATGACATCAGTTTTTATAACCACCACCGAGGAGCCACGACCTTTAACCTCCTCGCACCGGCCCGGTTGGTTTGGAAGAATTTTTTGTTTTAATTCTTTAAAAACTATGTAAAAGACTGAGCTGAATACAGCACCTCAGACTGACGAAGTCCTTCGGATGAGAGACGAAGCGTTTCTACAATTTGTTGTTTTGTTTGTGAACGTCCAGAGGACCAGACTGAACTCGTTTAGATTTTTCTACCTGGATTATTGAGCAGCATCAGAATATTCTTTAAAAACCGTTTTGTTTTTATCAATTTCTCTCGTCTGATGAGATGAACCAGCTAACAAAAAGTTTTAACATGTGTAGGGGTGAACACTTGTCAGCGCTCAGACAGATGTTGAGCAGGTGTGGCGGCTCACCTGGAGCGGGACCGGCTGCGGCTGCTGCTCTCACTGCGGCTGCGGCTCTTGTGAGACCTGCGACTCCTGGAGCGAGACCTGCAGAGAAACCACGAGTCACGTTTGTGGAGCTGAGCTGGGGAACGGGCCGTCAGAACATCCACCCAAACCTCTCTGACCTGGAGTGGCTGCGAGAGTAGGAGCGGCGGCGCCGGGCACCGGGGCGGTCCTCGATGAGCCGGATCTTCCTGCCGTTCACCTCGGTGCCGTCCAGCTTCTCCAGGGCCCTCTTCATGTCCGCGTACTGCCTGAACTCGATCACGCCCTCGTTCTTCCGGCCCTTATGGGTGTCGGCGTAAGTCACCTCCCCCGCCTGCCTCATGTAGTCCTGCAGAGGAGCCAAGAGCACGTGAAGACTCATCCGCTGGCTTCATTTGTTCCTTCAACCTTTACACTGAGTCGGGACTCATTTACAAGAGACCTGGTTTAAACAATGACGACGCGGCAGAGCATCTTAAAAAACTCTGAACAAACGGAAGAAATGATGCAACAAGCAGCTACACTGTACGACGATATAAAAACTAAAAACAGGAACACGTCTGCGCTGCGTTTTGCCATGAACTCAGCAGATGTTTAAAGTCCCTTAGAGGTGGAGAGCTTCATTTATCTGATCAAAGAAAACCTGGTTACCTTCAAGTCCTGCCAGCTGCAGCGGCTGGAAAGATTCTCAACAATGAGCCGATAATCGGTCCTTACAGGCGGACCGTACCTGTCTCTTCCTTGCCAGCGCCCATAGCCACCTTTCAAGGCAACAAGCAAACAGGTAGACGATGAGGACCAGGAGGAGACTGAGCCGAGTCATCATTCTAAACTGCAGACTACAAACTACATAACATCAATATTCTCAAAGGGAAGGGAAACAAAGGGGAAAAGTAAAAGGAGGAAAAGATTTACAAAATAAGAATTCAAGGCTACAAAAGACCTTTCTATTCTTCCTATAATTCTGCATTTTAAAAAGTTTAAGCCAATACAACAACTGCAGATGTTAAACTCTGTTAGAAGTTCAATTGGCCTGTTTAACAAGAAGATACAATTAAATAAAGCAAATGTCTAAGCTATCCTAACTAACAACATTTGACTGTTAGAAAACATGTTGTTTTTCAGGCACCTATGAGAGCTGAACCCACATCTGCTCCTAACCCCATGGCATCCTCACCACCCGGCCTGGGCCTAATGGGAAGGAAAAGCGGTCTTCATTCACAATGGCTCCCCTTTTTGGTCTGCCCGGGGGCCCAGAATGGTCAAACCACACTCTTGGAAAGGGGGGACACCATGGCCAGCAATAGGGGCAGGCAGTCAGCAAAGGACTCTTTCAATTAAAACATTGAGGTTCTTTGTTAAATCTTTACCTTTAAATTGACAGTCATTTTAAAAGAAATAAACTGCACTAAAACAACAACACATTACATGATATTTAACAAATAGTTACAACATTTAAATTAGCAAAGTCACATTTCTTTAAGGTATTTAATCACTTCCCCATTACATCATCACATGTAACTTAAATCATTAGATTTAACATTCATCCATTAAATATTAAAGTTGTTGGTGGTTCTGATGTGCACAGATTTATTCACATCATGAAGGAACCTCAGAGAGCTGCGGGTCCTGGATCTGGTCCAAAACTGTCCCCAAACCCCGTTTCTGTCCAGGTGCTGCCAAATGCGAGCTCGGTACCAGTTCTGTTCAACTACAAACCCACAGCAAGAGCCGCTTACGTCCCAGTAACGAGTTCAGACACAAGAAACTGAGTCGCTTAAAGTCAGTAAAAAACTATATTTGGCTCTGAAATCTGATTTTGATCCTAAAGGTGCATTCAGCACAGTTCAGGTGAACATCTTACCAAATGTCTGAACATCACCGGCTGTTAAATGATTTAAACCAGAAAAACTGAAACTGGCCCTGCAGAAACACGACCCTGACACAGACTCAAGGTCAGGTAAGTAAATCTAGATTAAATCTGGTCAATACACTGGAATACTTAAATTATTGTGTCAAATGGAGACGGGCCTCCGTCCTGACACTCGGACCCACTTCAGCTCCAAGAGGCTCCATCAGATCGAAACAAACGACATCAACTCCGTGCAGCTCAGCCACCAAGAACAAACTTACACTTTGCTCCGTCCACATTACATCAGTAACATCGTTCATGTAAAGCGAGCAGAAACTTTTCTAGACACTTACTACGTCCACCGCTGCTGTAGCCTCCGTCACGGCGGGGACCCTTGGTGTGCTCCACCACGACCCGCTCCCCGCACAGGTCTTTACCGTTCAGGTCGTACACGGCATCGTCTGCGTCACGCGGGTCATCGAACTCAACAAAACCATAACTACAGACGGAAAGAGAGACAGTTAGACACGAACACCACCCCTGAACGGACGAGTCGTCTTGTCCCTGTTCAGGAGTCTCCACATCAAGCCGTCCTCGCTCCAACCACGTCCTCTAGCTGCATCTAGACGTCTCGTCTCTTCCAGCCAGCTGCATTTCTAACATCCTTCTTACAATAACCGACACGTTCTTGTTCTGAAAGGACCAGAGTCCAATCACACATTTCCATGAGTGAACGCAGAGGCGGCAGTTTGGAAAACTATAAAAAGGTTTGATCGAACTGAGATCATAAAACAAACGATTGCACTGTTTTCTTCTTAACTTAAAGACAAAATACATTTTTATTTTCTACTAAATGTTTGCAACTTATTAAAAAAAAAAGTACAATTATTTATAAATACAGCACGGTTTAAAGTTTTTATTGTGCTTTAAAAAATTACCAGTTATATATTTGTCTCAATAAAATTGCTTTAAGCAAAACCCTAAAGAAAACAACATTGGAGAGTTATAGCCAAAAATAAAAACTTTATTTTAAAACGGCAGATATTGTTTAAATGTTTTTTCTACATACTGGGCATGTGTAAAATGTAGGTGGGGGTAAATTAGAGATGGGGGCAGGTTTGTGGGGGACGAGATGAGCAGCGCAGGGGACCCGAAAGTTCCAGGTTCGATCCCCAGCCATCACCCAACATGTGGTGCCTCTGAGCAAGGCACCCAATCCCCGGGCGCCTGCACAGCTGCTGCCCGCTGCACCACCTGGGTGCACCCCAGGAGCCTCGTGTTAAACGCACGGAACTCACTTCTTCATTGTATGGGAAAATGACACATAGCACTTATTAAATAATAAAAACACTAACATTTGTAGTTTTCACCTTCCTTCGTTTTACTTATTTAAATCATCTTTGCCTTTTTCTTTACTGAATTTTCTTGTGGTTGATTAAAAAGCACTTTTGTCCATAATTTCTTATAAAGCAGCGGGTTCTTCGGTGCCACGTCTAATATTAGCTTAGCCGATGCTAAGCTAGTGTGAGAAGATGCAATAAACGCAGAGCTCCGCTCACCTTCAAACTCATTTTATTTTAATTAGTCAAACAATAACCGGCAACGACTCGTGCACACGAGGCTGTGAGCACCAGATCGCTGGTAAACACGTTTGGTTCGTGCTAACAATGTAGCCGTAGCGCCGCAGGCCTGTTAGCTTGACCGCGGCCTGCGCTGGCTCTAAGCGCGGCCTTCCTCTTGTCTCCCGTTCGCTCGGTACCGTACCCATTTTTCAGGTCCACTTCCAGAATCTTCCCGTAACCTTTAAAGAACCTCTCCACGTCCTTCTCCCTGGCCCTGTAGCTCAACCTGCCGATGTAAACCCGAGACATGTCGTTAACCTGCGCTAGCGCTGCCGAAACGTGAATAAAAAGACCGGAACAAGCAAGCTAACAGGAGAACCCGCGAGACCGTAGACCGGAAGTCCTGCCATCTGATTGGCTGCTTGGTAAGGAGGCGGAGCTTAACAGTTTTTAAATATAGATTGAATCAAGTCAGATTTATTTGTACACAGTTAAAACAGGAACTGTTACCAAAGTGCTGAACAAAAAGAGCACAGTATCAAATAAAAATAAGATATAATTAAAGCATCTGGAATAAAAACATTACAAACAACAATAGACAATTTTATAAAAGCATATCAAATGAAAAGTAAATAACATTTTTTTCTTTCGGCTGCTCCCTGCGTTAAGGGTCGCCACAGCGAACTAAGTCGCACGCACGAAGTAAAAGTAAATAACATAAATTATATAAAAAGGAAAAATATGTTGATTCAAAATTTCACAGCATCAACAAATCCCAAAAAAGTTGGGACAAGTAGCAATAAGTGGCTGGAAAAAGGAAACTGAGCATATAACGAACAGCTGGAAGACCAATTAACACTAATTAGGTCAATTGACAACATGATTGGGTATAAAAAGAGCTTCTCAGAGTGTCAGTGTCTCTCAGAAGCCAAGATGGTAAGAGGATCACCAATTCCACCATTGTTGCACAGAAAGATAGTGCAGCAATACCAGAATGGTGTTACCCAGCGTAAAATAGCAAAGACTTTTAAGTTATCATCATCAACCGTGCGTAACATCATCAAAAGATTCAGAGAATCTGGAACAATCGCTGTGCGTAAGGGTCAAGGCCGTAAAACTCTACTGGATGCTCGTGATCTCCGGGCCCTTAAACGTCACTGCACCTCAAACAGGAATGCCACTGTCAAGGAAATAACAGAATGGGCTCAGGAATACTTCCAGAAAGCATTGTCAGTGAACACAATCCACCGTGCCATCCGCCGTTGCCAGCTGAAACTCTACAGTGCAAAGAGGAAGTCATTTCTAAGCAAGCTCCACAAGCTCAGACGTTTGCACTGGGCCAGGGGTCATTTAAAATGGAGTGTGGCAAAATGGAAGACTGTTCTGTGGTCAGATGAGTCACGATTTGAAGTTCTTTATGGAACACTGGGACGCCATGTCATCCGGACCAGAGAGGACAAGGATAGCCCAAGTTGTTATCAACGCTCCGTTCAGAAGCCTGCATCACTGATGGTATGGGGTTGCATGAGCAGTTGTGGCATGGGCAGCTTGCATGTCTGGAAAGGCACCGTTAATGCAGAGAACTATGTTCAGGTTCTAGAACAACATGTGCTCCCATCTAGACGTAATCTCTTTCAGGGAAGACCCTGCATTTTTCTACACGATGATGCCAGACCACATTCTGCAGCAATCACAACATCATGGCTACGTAGGAGAAGGATCCGGGTACTGAAATGGCCAGCCTGCAGTCCAGATCTTTCACCTATAGAGAACATTTGGTGCATCATAAAGAGGAAGGTGCCACAAAGAAGGCCCAAGACGACTGAACAGTTAGAGGCCTGTATTAGACATGAATGGGAGAGCATTCCTATTTCTAAACTGGAGAAACTGGTCTCCTCTGTCCCCAGACGTCTGTTGAGTGTTGGAAGAAGAAGGGGGGGATGCCACACAGTGGGAAAAATGGACTTGTCCCAACTTTTTTGGAATTTGTTGACGCCATGAAATTTGGAAACAACAGATTTTTCCCTTAAAATGAAACATTCTCTCAGTTTAAACTTTTGATCTGTGATTTGTGTTCTATTCTGAATAAAATATTAGATGTTGGCACCTCCACATCATTGCATTCACTTTTTATTCACAATTTGTTTAGTGTCACAACTTTTTTAGAATCTGGTTTGTACCTGGATAAATAAAGAATTTAAAAAAAAAAGAAGACTAGAGAAGTTTGGTATGAACACCAGCATCCTCACATGGAGCCTGCTGCATCACAGGGTGGTGTGGGGACTGCACCAGTCAGAGGTGCAAACAGCAGAGGACATCACTGGCAGCAGTCTCCACACCATCCAGGACATACAGCCGATGTCTGGTAAAGCAGCATCATTAAGGACCACACCCACCCAGCACACTCTTCCATCTACCACCCTCAGGCAGACGATACAGATACAGGACTCTGTCCTCGAGTGGAGGTGGGAGGGGCTTAATGCTACAAGGATGATGAACAGCGGTGGGTGGGGCTTATTATCCCGGGTTGTTAAGCGGCTGTGGGCGGTGCTTATTATGCTCCTTCCTCCTCCTCCTCCCCTCCGGTTCGGTTCTGTTTCTCTCGAACCTCATCATCACTAACTCCTCCCGTTGACTCCACGGTGAAGTCGCTCGGATGTCGAAGTCCAGGAACCTTCTGGAACCGGTCCAGGAGGGCAGCAGGTCCCGTTAGCCGGAAGTTAGCTTCGCAGCAACAGGTCGCTCGCTGGTCCCGAACCGCCTCCATGGAGTTCGGAACTTTCTCCAAGTACTCCTGGGTCGACTTCGTGTTCTCCGTGGTCGGGGTGTGTACCTTCCTGCTGGACTGGGGTTCGGACGTGTGGGTGGCCGCAGAGTTTTACTGCCGCGGGGACTTCTTCTGGTTCGGGGTGCTGGTCGGCCTCATGGTCCTGTCCTCGGTCGTGGTCCAGATGTTCAGCTGGTTCTGGTTCGAGTACGACCGGGATCTGCCGGGGTTCAGCGGAGATGCCGGGAGCGTGTTCTGCGGGGACCGGGTCCAGATCTTCTGCCTGCTGCATGTTCTGCAGCTGGGCTTCCTCTGCAGGTACGAACCGAGCCAGGTCCAGGTTCTGACCACATCTGTTACAACCCTCTAGTTGTTCTGGTAGGTCTGCATGTACCTCTGAAGTTCCTGTCCAGGTTCTGGGGAGGTTCTGATGGTCCAGTTTGACACCAGGTGTGAGAGGATCTTTAAAAATATTTAAAAAAATCTGCAGAGCAGAAAAAGTCCAGTTCTGTGGTGGTTCTGGTCTTGGACCAGGGTTCTGTGGTGGTTTATGTCTCCTCTTGTCCCCTCACGTGACCTCTTGTCCCCTCGCGTCTCCTGTCCCTTCACGTCTCCTGTCCCCTCACATCTCGTCCCCTCACATCTCTTGTCCCCTCACATCTCTTGTCCCCTCACATCTCCTGTCCCCTCACATCT